AACCAAAATAATACTTGTACATTCCTACAGATGTTAATCAAATACTATGTAGTGAAGTGGATAATCTGCTTCAGATTTTAAAAAGAATAGGTTCAAATTCTTCTAAAGGTTGAACTTTTACTAAAGCTATGATTAACTTTTATTCTATCAGTATGTTTCTACATTAGACAATTGATAAGGATTAAAATATATATATAAATATATGATCCAAAATATTCACATGTAAAATAATCCAAGACATAAAAAAAAATATTTTAACCATCTAAAGATACAGTATCTTTAAGATCTGCCTCTTGACACAAGGATTATCTATATAAGAGGTCAGATTAATGAAGGCACTGTTAGGACTAAGGCCCACCTGCAATAGGATCCACACGTGCAGTAACTTTATATATCTATAGCTGCATGTGCATGTTTTATATTGCTTTGTTGGTAACTCAGGGAAAAAAAAAACGTCAACCGAAGCTTCTTTTCTTGGCTTGGATGTCCCTAGAGTATCCATCTAGGCCTTCCTCTGTCCTAATTCCTTTTGCCCAAAGAGATCGTTCCTACAAGGCCAGGTGGAGTTGAGAAGCTGCATCTGTCACAGTCATTTAGCACTGAACTTCAGCTGCTTTATTTAGGATTCTAACACGGTGGATCAACAAAAGAGGCCTGTCACCCCAACATAAACAGGCTCTGCAGTGTTTAGAAGGGATGGAAAGATTGGCAGGTTTTCACCAGTTTGTCATCTCCACCAATGAAATCCTGCAGTAATTTACACTGCTTCCTCTACACTATTGACTTCTTTTTCATTCAGGGTACTCCACAAGTCACTACCAATTAGGGGAGAGCTTTACAGCATAGCTACGGTAAGAGCCATGCTGTCCAGGGGAAATAAGGAAATGTGGGAGGCAGGGCAAGGCAGGAGGCCGCCACATGAATCCCTTGAAATTTGCAATATCTGGGGGACATCCACAAATTTAAGTGGTGGAACTCACAGCCTTGTCAATTGGGGTGGAGTGAAGTGACATGCTCCTGCATATTTCCCTTCTCCCCCGTACTCCAGTGTAAAGTTATCTTGTTTGGGAAGCTATGGCTGTGTATTGCTCAGGGCATACTAAAGGTAGTGAGATTGTGAAGCCTGTGGTCTCTGGTTTTATTTCTCAATTAAGGTGATATTTCTATCCAAGGACAATATTTATACAGCTCTTGCTCAAGAATTCAGTCATTAAACATTTGTTGTTGTCTTTTCTTTTTTGAAGTGATGTAACTATGCCCTGGATACTTGTCTGAAATAAGTCATGTGTGCTGTGTTAGCAAGTTGATTTGTTGAATGTATATTGCATTTGTGCATGTGCACAAGTCTAATTTCCTGACTTCTATGGTTTTTGTTACATGATTTTTCCAGTATCTATTTAAAAACTATTTAGGTCACATGATGCTATTTTAAAGATTAGAAATGCCCCTAGTGCATCTTATAATAATTAAAATGTTTGTCTGTTGATGAGCAACTTTGAAAATAATATTTTTTAATCCTTTCAACTCCTTCAACTATTTATTTCGGTACTTCGTATATCAACCTTGTGATTGGCAAATGCATACTTCTGAGGTTATAAATATTGCATATATATTTACTTAGTTGTAAATAGGTCATTAATCTTCACTTGTAGGGGATGACTTCTTGCTCCAGATTTTATGACGTCATCCCCCAAACACTAACGAGTGAAGATAAATTTCATATCGAAACCTAAACTGCAATGGCTAAGGAATTACTCAGACTACACTGAGGATAATGAAATTACTTTCCTGAGATATGGGTGACCTTAATAATTGTAAGTGGCTTTGCTGTCAAGAAATAATTAGGTTACATATATCATCATAGGTAAAGTCTGTATCCTCAGAGTTATTGCATATGTGGTGTATACTGTGCCACATGTTTAATACCCTTTACTTTAAATTTATTTAATATGTTTAGCTATTATTGTGACTAATCTCTTTGTGTGCTAAGCTGTGCTGAACTGGCTAGCTAGAGACTTCCTTTCCTAACAGTGAGTGAGAAGACCAAGGACATAAAGATACTCCCATCCATCAGTGCCAAAACCACCCATTCCTTCACTGAGAATAACTTAATCATCATCAAAAAATTCTAATCTCCCTTTTCTGCCTGTCATTATGTCACATGTGTTCTATTGCTTGCATTATATGTAAATGTTCACACACAGCCTTGCGGTCAAGGCAGTGGGTTAGGAAGCGGGCTTCAATTCCAAACTTTACCACAGAGTTCTGTGATTTTGGGGCAAATTACTTAATCTGTCCGGATTTAGCTCCCGGGCTATAAAAAGGAGTTAATACTTTACACAGGGACGTGGTGAACTAATTAATGTTTATGGGGTAGCTAGATACTATGATGATGGGAACCATATAAAGTACTATAGGTACTGATAGATTCACAGTACCAGTAACATTGTCCTTTTCTGTGGACTATAGTCATTTTCCATTTTTATTTTGGATAAACAAGGATAAGGATGGTGATTGTCACATGGTCTCAGTCAATATCGAAGTATTGAAATCATGACCCAGTTTTGCAATCTTTACTCACAATGAGTAGCACTATGTGTGTAGTCATAGATTTAAATGGGATTATTCACAAGTGAGCACTACTCAGAGGGAGTAATGGTTGCATAACCGGTACCTAAATTTATAATCAGTATTGTCTTTAAGATTGACAGAGGTTCCTGCTGAGGCCTCATCAGAATAACTGATGTATCTATGGGTAACTTCAAATACTGTATTCCAGGGAATTTCTGGTGTAATCTGAAAAATAAGAGACACACAGCAGCAGCGTTATAGGCGTGGCTCAATGAGCATTTCAGTTATACACTGTGGAAGGTATTGTCTGGCTATAGAGCCTGTCTGTGCAATGCAAACAGGACCTGTAAAAGCCCCTTAGCCATCTAGGGTAGAGTTTCTCCCTCCTGCTGTAGGCAACATGGAGGTCAGATGTAAGTGGCCTGTAGTGGGTTAGTGACGGTCCCTCCTCCTCCAGTTCAGTGGGAGGTCACTCTGCCTCATTACCCTCTGGAGCGCCACCACCATCAGGATTAGGCTTTTAGGCAGGGCAGGCCCAACTAAGAGTTTTAAGGCTCAGGCCCTCAGGGAGGGCAGCCAACTGACACAGGCTTCTTGGCCTAAGTGGGGAGGCTGCCACCCCAAGGGTGGGGTTGGCAGCATGGGGGGTAGAGGACCTACTCCACCAGTCCCAGCCCAGGGCCCTAACAGTGGCAGTGTTCCACCAGTGGGTCAGCAAGTAGCCAACCAAAACACGCTGACATAGATTCGGGCAACCGCCCAATAAGACTAAAAAGTCTAGTTCCCTGGGCTACTTCCTGTGATCCCCTTGCTGGGTACCTGCACTCTACAGGCATCCGCCGACTCCTCGGGATAGGCGGCAAGCAGTAGATTTGGCAGCTCTTCACTTGGGTCAGTCTCCTCCAGGGGCAGGGCATGGTGCTGCACGGGTTCAGCTCCGGGGAGCTGCAGTAGCCTGGAGACATCTGTTCCTTTCCCTGGCTCAGACTGAACTGGGTTAGAGGTTAGAAACTCTGCCTTTTATACCTCCTGTCCCACCCATTGGCTTCTGGCGGGAGGGGCAAGCCTGGCCTAGCTTTACCCACCAGGGATCACAGAGTGACTCCTCCCAGCTCCAGCTCAGTGGGAGGCCACTCCGCCTCACTACATGGCCCTTTGTAGACCCCCTTGCAATTCCTGACATCAGAAATGGGAGGCACAGAACAGAATCTCAGCCTATGTCTTTCAAAGGCCAGGAACCTGTATGTGTTAATATTCCCCTCTTGGCTCAAAGTTGGCAAGCAAATGTTTAATCAAGAAGCCCATCTTTTAAATATGTGATCAAAAAGCTGGTGGTAACCATCAGCTTAATTTTATTTGATCTACTGTGTGTATTATTAGTTCTATTAGACTGTGGAATAGTGTTCAAATGAAAGTAATGCTGTGAGTACTGGCACTTGAAACTTAAACAGGTCTGGACAAAAAGAAAAACTGTATACTATTGGGAACAATCTTGCATTAGTATACAGCAGTATGAACAAGCTCATTATTATTTCTAGTGCAGCACCTAAAGAACCCAATCAAGGCCCCATTGTCCAGGCAACATTTGCTTTGCTCTAGATCAGGGGTGGTCAACCTGAGCCTGAGAAGAAGCCAGAATCTACCAGTGTACATTGTCAAAGAGCCACAGTAATACATCAGCAGCCTCCCATCAGCTCCCCCACCCTCCTTCCAGCGCGTACCATCCACCAACTGCCCCAGGCACACTGGAAAGTTGGCACATGTAGCTCCAGCCCCGGAGTTGGTGCCAATACAAGGAGCCCCATATTAACTTCTGAAGAGCCGCATGCGGCTCCGGGGCCACAGATTGGCCACCGCTGCTCTAGAGAACTCAATCTAAGAACCTAGTTCCATGTTTGATTTTTATGGGCTGTATGCTCCCCTCTGTAGTAAAAAGGCTCAGAAAGGGCTGAGATCCACACAAATATACTACAAAAATAGCTGAATAGGTTAATACATAAAATGCTACTTAGTCATGAAGAAAAAAATGTTTATTGCCGGAAACACCTACTGAAGAGATGCAAAAAATGGGGATGAAATATTTGAGAAGATGGAGAGCCCTGCACTATTACACATATGGCAGCATCTGCGGGAGTGGCTACAATGAACGGAAGTTCAACTAATTGTTTCCAAGTTCTTTGCAGTCTGAGATAGCACCCGCTCATCTTCAGCATTTGCAAATGGTCAAAGTATGCTGAAATATCTATTGAAAAGGTAGTATTGTGTGGATTTTTGCTGATGGCATGTTAATGCTGCTTAGAGCTGTTCTGATTTATTCTGTTTTCTGAATTGCTTCCCTTTCAACTTTCTGTATTAATGTACGTTGTTTTTCCAGGATAGCATGTGTTGTATTAGGGTTTTCCCCTGACTTCTCTCTGACTTTTCCTTAGGCCACACCTCCTTGCTGGAATTTGCAGATCTTATGGAACCATTTTTTGATGTTACAGCTTAGTAAAGCACCAGGTAGGCAGCATGACTTGTGGGTTACAATTTTGAGACAGCTTTTGCAGCAAGTGGCTGCACTTTTAACACACGAACCACAGGAGCATACAGGCCAGTAAGTCCAAACAGCTAGAGAAAGACAGATGGAAAACATTACTGCGGCTGGTTTCTGGTATTTAAATCTTATTTAAGATTAATCTTAATCTTAAATAAGATTTAAATACCAGAAACCAGCATTAATCTTATATATTGGTAGGATACTGACTGTGCGAATTGCTGATTCAAAGTATCCATATTGGTTAGGATGCTCGCAGAAAAATGTGCAAGTAGTCTTGTTTTCAAGGGGAAATTGTCCATTGCAGTCCACAGAACTCTTAATGGGAAATCAACTATTTATTATTGCTAAAATGGGTCTCTGTTGTATATTTTGCACTCACATTTGCATGGAAAAATGGAAGTTGTGCTGGGGGAATGAGAGCAGAATATGCTTTACACATTTGTATGGGGCCAATTTCGAGCACTAAACTTCCACTTAAGCAGATGTATATGGAAACTAAGGGTATGTCTACACTACGGAATAAGGTCGAATTTATAGAAGTCAGTTTTTTAGAAATCGGTTTTATATATTCGAGTGTGTGTGTCCCCACAGAAAATGCTCTAAGTGCATTAAGTGCATTAACTCGGCGGAGCGCTTCCACAGTACCAAGGCTAGAGTCGACTTCCGGAGTGTTGCACTGTGGGTAGCTATCCCACAGTTCCCACAGTCTCCGCTGCCCATTGGAATTCTGGGTTGAGATCCCAATGCCTGATGGGGCTAAAACATTGTCGCGGGTGGTTCTGGGTACATATCGTCAGGCCCCCGTTCCCTCCCTCCCTCCGTGAAAGCAAGGGCAGACAATCATTTCGCGCCTTTTTTCCTGAGTTACCTGTGCAGACGCTATACCACTGCAAGCATGGAGCCCGCTCAGGTAACCGTCACCCTATGTCTCCTGGGTGCTGGCAGACGCAGTACGGCTTTGCTGCACAGTAGCAGCAACCCATTGCCTTCTGGCAGCAGACAGTGCAATACGATTGGTAGTCGTCCTCGTCGTGTCCGAGGTGCTCCTGGCCACGTCGGCTGGGAGCGCCTGGGCAGACATGGGCGCAGGGACTAAATTTGGAGTGACTTGACCAGGTCATTCTCTTTAGTCCTGCAGTCAGTCCTATTGAACCGTCTTATGGTGAGCGGGCAGGCGATACGGACTGCTAGCAGTCGTACTGTACCATCTTCTGCCAGGCAGGCAAGAGATGGGGATGGCTAGCAGTCGTACTGTACCATCTTCTGCCGAGCAGCCATGAGATGTGGATGGCATGCAGTCCTTCTGCACCGTCTGCTGGCAGCCAAAGATGTAAAAGATAGATGGAGTGGGTCAAAACAAGAAATAGACCAGATTTGTTTTGTACTCATTTGCCTCCTCCCCTGTCTAGGGGACTCATTCCTCTAGGTCACACTGCAGTCACTCACAGAGAAGGTGCAGCCAGGTAAATCTAGGCATGTATCAGTCAGAGGCCAGGCTAACCTCCTTGTTCCAATAAGAACGATAACTTAGGTGCACCATTTCTTATTGGAACCCTCCATGAAGTCCTGCCTGAAATACTCCTTGATGTACAGGCACCCCCTTTGTTGATTTTAGCTCCCTGAAGCCAACCCTGTAAGCCGTGTCGTCAGTCGCCCCTCCCTCCATCAGAGCAACGGCAGACAATCGTTCCGCGCCTTTTTTCTGTGCGGACGCCATACCAAGGCAAGCATGGAGGCCGCTCAGCTCACTTTGGCAATTAGGAGCACATTAAACACCACACGCATTATCCAGCAGTATATGCAGCACCAGAACCTGGCAAAGCGATACCGGGCGAGGAGGCGACGTCAGCGCGGTCACGTGAGTGATCAGGACATGGACACAGATTTCTCTGAAAGCATGGGCCCTGCCAATGCATGCATCATGGTGCTAATGGGGCAGGTTCATGCTGTGGAACGCCGATTCTGGGCTCGGGAAACAAGCACAGACTGGTGGGACCGCATAGTGTTGCAGGTCTGGGACGATTCCCAATGGCTGCGAAACTTTCGCATGCGTAAGGGCACTTTCATGGAACTTTGTGACTTGCTTTCCCCTGCCCTGAGGTGCATGAATACCAAGATGAGAGCAGCCCTCACAGTTGAGAAGCGAGTGGCGATAGCCCTGTGGAAGCTTGCAACGCCAGACAGCTACCGGTCAGTTGGGAATCAATTTGGAGTGGGCAAATCTACTGTGGGGGCTGCTGTGATGCAAGTAGCCCACGCAATCAAAGATCTGCTGATATCAAGGGTAGTGACCCTGGGAAATGTGCAGGTCATAGTGGATGGCTTTGCTGCAATGGGATTCCCTAACTGTGGTGGGGCTATAGACGGAACCCATATCCCTATCTTGGCACCGGAGCACCAAGCCGCCGAGTACATAAACCGCAAGGGGTACTTTTCGATAGTGCTGCAAGCTCTGGTGGATCACAAGGGACGTTTCACCAACATTAACGTGGGATGGCCGGGAAAGGTGCATGATGCTCGCATCTTCAAGAACTCTGGTCTGTTTCAAAAGCTGCAGGAAGGGACTTACTTTCTAGACCAGAAAATAACCATTGGGGATGTTGAAATGCCTATAGTTATCCTTGGGGACCCAGCCTACCCCTTAATGCCATGGCTCATGAAGCCGTACACAGGCAGCCTGGACAGTAGTCAGGAGCTGCTCAACTACAGGCTGAGCAAGTGCAGAATGGTGGTAGAATGTGCATTTGGACGTTTAAAGGCGCGCTGGCGCAGTTTACTGACTCGCTTAGACCTCAGTGAAACCAATATTCCCACTGTTATTACTGCTTGCTGTGTGCTCCACAATATCTGTGAGAGTAAGGGGGAGACGTTTATGGCGGGGTGGGAGGTTGAGGCAAATCGTCTGGCTGCTGGTTACGCGCAGCCAGACACCAGGGTGGTTAGAAGAGCACAGGAGGGCGCGGTACGCATCAGAGAAGCTTTGAAAACCAGTTTCATGACTGGCCAGGCTACGGTGTGAACGTTCTGTTTGTTTCTCCTTGATGAAACCCCCCGCCCCTTGGTTCACTCTACTTCCCTGTAAGCTAACCACCCGCCCCTCCTCCCTTCAATCACCGCTTGCAGAGGCAATAAAGTCATTGTTGCTTCACATTCATGCATTCTTTATTCATTCATCACACAAATAGGGGGATGACTACCAAGGTAGCCCAGGAGGGGTGGTGGAGGAGGGAAGGAAAATGCCACACAGCACTTTAAGCACAGCACTTTAAAAGTTTACAACTTTAAAATTTATTGAATGACAGCCTTCTTTTTTTTTGGGCAATCCTCTGTGGTGGAGTGGCTGGTTGGCCGGAGGCCCCCCACCGCGTTCTTGGGCGTCTGGGTGTGGAGGCTATGGAACTTGGGGAGGAGGGCGGTTGGTTACAGAGGGGCAGCAGTGGCAGTCTGTGCTCGAGCTGCCTTTGCTGCAGCTCAACCATACACTGGAGCATACTGGTTTGGTCCTGCAGCAGCCTCAGCATTGAATCCTGCCTCCTCTCATCACGCTGCCGCCACATTTGAGCTTCAGCCCTGTCTTCAGCCCGCCACTTACTCTCTTCAGCCCGCCACTTACTCTCTTCAGCCCTCCACCTCTCCTCCCGGTCATTTTGTGCTTTCCTGCACTCTGACATTATTTGCTTCCACGCATTCGTCTGTGCTCTGTCAGTGTGGGAGGACAGCATGAGCTCGGAGAACATTTCATCGCGAGTGCGTTTTTTTTTTCTTTCTAAGCTTCACTAGCCTCTGGGAAGGAGAAGATCCTGTGATCATTGAAACACATGCAGCTGGTGGAGAAAAAAAAAGGGACAGCGGTATTTAAAAAGACACATTTTATAAAACAGTGGCTACACTCTTTCAGGGTAAACCTTGCTGTTAACATTACATACATAGCACATGTGCTTTCGTTACAAGGTCGCATTTTGCCTCCTCCCACCGCGTGACTACCCCCTCAACCTTCCCCCCTCCCTGTGGCTAACAGCGGGGAACATTTCTGTTTAGCCACAGGCAAACAGCCCAGCAGGAATGGGCTCCTCTGAGTGTCCCCTGAAGAAAACCACTCTATTTCAACCAGGTGACCATGAATTATATCTCACTCTCCTGAGGATAACACAGAGAGATAAAGAACGGATGTTGTTTGAATGCCAGCAAACATAGACTGCAATGCTTTGTTCTACAATGATTCCCGAGTACGTGTTACTGGCCTGGGGTGGTAAAGTGTCCTACCATGAAGGACGCAATAAGGCTGCCCTCCCCAGAAACCTTTTGCAAAGGCTTTAGGACTACATCTAGGAGAACCGCAAATGCCAGGGCAAAGTAATCCTTTCACATGCTTGCTTTTAAACCATGTATAGTATTTTAAAAGGTACACTCACCAGAGGTCCCTTCTCCGTCTGCTGGGTCCAGGAGGCAGTCTTGGGTGGGTTCGGGGGGTACTGGCTCCAGGTCTAGGGTGAGAAACAGTTCCTGGCTGTCGGGAAAACCGGTTTCTCTGCTTGCTTGCTGTGAGCTATCTACAACCTCCTCCTCATCATCATCTTCTTCGTCCCCAAAACCTGCTTCCGTATTGCCTCCATCTCCATTGAAGGAGTCAAACAACACGGCCGGGGTAGTGGTGGCTGAACCCCCTAAAATGGCATGCAGCTCATCATAGAAGCGGCATATTTGGGGCTCTGACCCAGAGCGGCTGTTCGCCTCTCTGGTTTTCTGGTAGGCTTGCCTCAGCTCCTTCAGTTTCACGCGGCACTGCTTCGGGTCCCTGTTATGGCCTCTGTCCTTCATGCCCTGGGAGATTTTCACAAAGGTTTTGGCATTTCGAAAACTGGAACGGAGTTCTGATAGCACGGATTCCTCTCCCCAAACAGCGATCAGATCCCGTACCTCCCGTTCAGTCCATGCTGGAGCTCTTTTGCGATTCTGGGACTCCATCATGGTCACCTGTGCTGATGAGCTCTGCATGGTCACCTGCAGCTTGCCACGCTGGCCAAACAGGAAATGAGATTCAAAAGTTCGCGGTTCTTTTCCTGTCTACCTGGCCAGTGCATCTGAGTTGAGAGTGCTGTCCAGAGCGGTCATAATGGAGCACTCTGGGATAGCTCCCGGAGGCCAATACCATCGAATTGTGTCCACAGTACCCCAAATTCGAGCCGGCAACATCGATTTAAGCGCTAATCCACTTGTCAGGGGTGGAGTAAGGAAATCGATTTTAAGAGCCCTTTAAGTCGAAATAAAGGGCTTCATTGTGTGGACGGGTGCAGGTTTACATCGATTTAACGCTGCTAAATTCGACCTAAAGTCCTAGTGTAGACCAGGGCTAAAAAAGTAAGGTAAATATGTGAATATGCTCTGGCCAACTGCAAACATCCCTGGAGATTAATCCACAAGAGTAATCTTCATGTGTGCACATTTTAAAAGATACTTTTTGAGAACCATTCTGGTAGTGTGGGTCCCAGCCCAGCAGTGGGTAACAGGAAGTTTCTAGGTGGACTGCAATGGCCAGGACCAGATTAATCCATATCTGGGCCCTGGCCTTTGCAAACATACTCTTCCCAGCCCAGTGCAGAGTTGAGGCCCTTGCAGAGGAGGGCAAAGAGGAAGGAGTAGAGTTGTTAGAGCAAGGTCACCCTGCAATGGCAGCTGCTGTCCCACAGGTCTGGGCCCAGCTCCCCATTCCGGCATTGCGAACTGGTGCACAGAGGCTCAGCGCCATGTTGCTCAGCGCAATGCCACTCACTTAGGTTTGGTTCAGCTGCCCCTCTGTCATGATGGAGGGGCGGCCGGACCTGACCTGAATGGGACTTCAACCCCATGCACCAGGTCACAATGCTTAGAGGAGGGCCCAGCCATGCAGGACAGGAGCCCTCACTGTGGGGTGAGTACAGGGCAGACTCACTCTCCAACCACCCCCACCAGGGCCAGGCCAGGATTTGGGTTGTGATAGTCGGGGCAGACTGGTGCATATACGTAATGGCAAATCATAAAAACAGAAAAACGCAGTTGGTAGGTTGTCTTAGTAAAATGTTTGGGAAGCACTGCACTACCAGACCACCGGGCCAATGAGGTGAAAGGTGGCTACACCCTTGTCACGTAGGCCCCCCTTTCTCAATATCTACAATCTTTTTTGTAGGTTTAGAGAAGTCCAAGATCAGGGGAACAATCTGTTCTGTGCTTTCCTGTGACCCAAGGTTGTTCCTGCAAACACATAGACATAATTACTAGCCAGAATTCGACCCTTGAAACCCATTGTGCACACTGGAGAGGAAAATGTTGCCCTACATTTACAGTTTCTAATGGAATTAAAATCCTTTAACATTCATATGCTGATTTCTGCCAGTGTGGAATAGCACCTATGTATATGGTTAATGCTTTTAAGAGAGAATACCCTGAAGTAAGTAGTGTTTACTAAGCGTTTACAAGGAAATTTGGTTGGAGAGAAGGCACAGCATATCAGTTAACTGCACAAATACTAAACTCAGACTAATTCTACACCATGCTCAACAAGTTTAACACCGATATTAACATACTGATTCTCACACTGAGTTATGTTATCCCATTTGAAGTCTCTTCCTTACTAGTAAAATGATGATACTTGCCCTTACAGCAAGAATCTGAAAATATTTAGGTTGCTATCTTTGGTGTTATTGCACAGAAGAAGATTCTTGGTCGGGCTTCGGCTCAGTCAGCACTTTCATACAATAGTGAGTTCAAATTAAAAACACCAACAATATTAGGAAAGACAATGGGCTTGATTTTCTTCTTGCTTACATCAGTTGTACACTGACATCAGACCCAGAGAATACAAAATTCAACACCAACTACATGCTTCTTCAAAGTGTTTTATGACTCCCATGTATTTTTTGTTGTTGTTTTCTTCAGAAATACAGTTCCTGCTTACCTACCTCCTGTAACAGAGACTATTTCTGAGCCAAACAGAAAAATGATAAAGTTTTTTCTCATGGTGAACAAACAAGGTCAAACAAGACTCTCCAGGTATTACGAACATGTGGAAATTCATAAGCGGACAATGCTGGAAGCTGAAGTAATCAAAAATTGCCTCTCTCGTTCAAAAGAGCAAGTATGTTTTTTGGTTTTTTTTTTTCTTCTGATCTAGCCATTTTATTTGAAATGGAACCAAGAAAAGAATATTACACAGTGAACTACACTCAAGAAATATTATAATGTTTTGTGTTAGGTTTTGCTGCCAAGGTATTTCTTGACATGAAAGTTCATATGTAAATCTACTTTCTTTTTCACTACAGTTGGTCTATTATAAATGTAGTGCAGGTTCTCTCAAGAAAACCCATTTTTTCCCCAAACATGCTACAGCAATTGACATATGCATGCTATTGCTAACTAAGAGGAACAAAACTTGTGCTTCTCTTTAATGCTAACACTGCTCTGTGTTCCTGAAATTGCCAATATTTTGTCCATGCAGCCTTCCTCAAGGTCAGATAATGTGCCATATTCTAGATGAATTACTACGGAATTCTGTCCTGATTTGGTATATGGTTTCTAAGTTATCCAACTACAGAGCTGATGAGTGAAAGCACAATTGTTTTTTCTGATAGAACTTGAATTACTTTGGGGGATTTTTTTTTTTTAATATCTTCTATTTTACCTGATACAAAAGTCCCTCTTTTTACACAGATTTTAGAGAATTCTAGACATGCTCTACAAGGATATGGTACCTGAAGTTTAGAGGGCTCATCAACTCATGTATGAGCCAATATTCCTAACCATGTATCAATACATGATAGTGACACAGGTACCTGTACCTTTGTTAGCTCTGTATTGGTTTATTCCTATACATTTTATATTCTGCTGCATGTGAAAACCATTCAAAGGCTTCAACCAGTGTAGAATCTGTCTGCCCGCTCACCACAGTGGTGCTTCTCTCAGAGAGATCCTTACACGTATTCTCTGCAGCCTGCACTAGCTCTCTATTGTTTTTGGGTGCAAGTCAAGGTGTTAGTTCTGATGTGTAAAGCACTAAATAGTCTGGATGGAATCCTGGCCCTATTGAAGCAATGGGAGTTTTGCCATTGAGTTCAATAGAGCTCAGATTTCACTCATTTAGCCCTGGTTACCTCATTGTCCATGTCTCTCATCATATGATATTGCAGTAACTGAGACCAGCTGAAGTGCTTTAACCTACTAGTACCCCTAGTTAAACTGGGAATGGGCTCGAGGCAGTGCCTTTCCAGAGGCTGGTGCTCAGCTCTGGAATTCACTTCCCTATTTGATCAAGTGCGTTGACTTTAGGGTGTTCTTCTCTTCTCCCAACTTTTAAGGGAAGGTGAGTTGAAGGAGAAAGTTATTATGCCTGATTGTCTGGGAGAATGTTATTGTTGATTTTAGTGGGACTAATTGCATAGAATAGTAATGTACATAAGATAACAGACTATGGCTGTTTGGGATTTGTGAATTTTCCTTTCCCACGGATGTTCTATTGTCTCAGAAGCAACATCTCACATGGTTTTTGGGTATAATATACAAGATTGAAAATAAGTGCCAACCAGCTGGTGGCAAAGTGACCAAGATAGCATGTGTATTAGTTCTAAGACAGTAATAGAGAGTTATTTATTTCTCCTGTGTTAGAAGTTGTCTAACTTCTTTTCTGACAAAAAAAAAAGTAAAATGTAAATAATTAACAACAGAAGAGCCGTACATATCCATTGTATGTCATTATTCTATTTGTATCTATGCAGAGGCTAAAAGTAAGTGGTTATTGTATACTGCATAGGTAAGTGTTTTTCAGGTTGGAAACCTGGTTTTCTTACAGAGGATTCTACCTCTTCCTAGGGAGGCTGAAAATTCCAGGGCAAAGGAGAAGAGGAATATATTTTTCTCCTTTTCCTAGTTATTTTTACTGGACCTAGCACATTGACCTTTATATAATAGATATAAACTATCACAGCTCTGCCAAGCAGTAATGGATGCAGTCATGCCAGCGCTAAGGATTCAAATATCATGAGTCAGACCCTTAAAATCATAAGATTGTTTTTTAAAATCTCATGATTTTGAAGACAAACTTTTGGTCTTATTTCCTTTCTGGTTTTTGAGCATTTGAGTTTCGTGTTTTCAGACTTCCATTTGCAGCCACAAAGATTATAAACATATCTTTTAATTTTTTTAATGAAAACTGGGATACTCATGTAATTACATGGCTCCAGGAGTTGGGTCTTTAAGAAAAACACCAAATATTTCAATATTCAATAAAATTGCAAGATTTGACAATTCTGCACAGATGTCAGGTCCTTGCAGCTCAGTTTCCCACTGGGGGAGAAATCAATTACATGGAATGTGGGTATATTTTTACTGCAACTTGTGTACAGAGTGTGGCCAGACAGCACACAGGAAATCCCATCTTTCCAGAATCTCAGCAAAGACACCATTGCCCAGTTCCCAGGAGGTAATTTTGCCTCAATAATATACTCTAATTAGAGCGATTAAGGTTGAGAGCAAACTCTGCTGCTGTTCGCAACCGCTCCCCTAAAATAATCAGAAAACTAACAACAATACAGCCTTTTTTTAAAAAAAGATTTAACAGTGCTCACATTTGAAGAAAAAGGATCTTGTGACACTATGTGTAACAGCATCATCTGGTGACTCATGCCATAACAATATAGATTATGAAATAGATGTTTATGTTTTCTGGTTTTTCCTCCCACAAGTCTAAGGATAGATAGCAAGAAGTGGAAACCCATTGCCCTCATATCATCTATAATATAGGTATAATTTTCTACCTGACAATTGTGTCCTGTCATCTTCTAAAATGTTTTTGTTTGGAGAGGTAAGGGAAGACAAGAGGGATGCCCAATGGATCTGCTGTGTAATCTTGAGCAAATCATTTTACCTCTGTGTGCCTCAAGTTTTTCATCTGTGAAGTGTGAATAAAACTCTCCTTGATGTAAAGTGCTTTGAGATCCACAGATGAAAAGCCCTATCTACTAACTTAATATTTTATTAATTTCCTTTACCTCCGGAGGGAGATTGTGGGGTGAAGACTGAGACACTTTTTGTACTTTGTGGACCTGATTTTTCTGTCCTTTACACCAGTGTAAGTCAGGAGTAACTTTGTTAAAAGTTAACAAGTTACACTCATGAAACTTCTGTAAATGAGAGACGGGGCCCTATGTGTGTAAACTACAGTATATATAATAAGCATGTTGTGTATAGTAATAAATTAGGTCTAATGTGGCAGTTACTGTTTAACCATTTGCATTTTTATCTAGTGCTCTTTCATTGAATATAAGGATTTTAAGCTGGTGTACCGACAATATGCAGCCCTTTTTATAGTGGTTGGAATCAGTGAAACAGAGGTAAGAGATTACATTTAGTCTGTGAAAAAATGTAAGAGAAATGTGGATTTAAATTAATCTTTGAATATGCCTCTGTAGGCAGTCGTGGCCATCCCTCCACATCCACCTCTGAGGAGGGCCGACTCCTTGCAGTCTGGTCTGCTAGAGGAAATTAGCGGTACTCCCCCAAATTGAGGTGTTGGGCTGGCCTTTAATACTTCCTCTTCCTGTCCTGCCCCACTCTGCTTCCAACCTGCGGGGCGTGGTCCAGGCTGCTTGTGACATTCCCTCCACCACTGAGGGAGGCCACACCTCCTCACTACAGCCTCCAATTCCATCTTCTTTCCCCAATGCAGTTTCACAATTTCTGTTACACAATTTCAAGGTGTTGTTCTGAAAGCACCCTTATTTCTATCAGATAAAAAGTGGTGTGGAGGGAAAGAAAGAAGTAGTCTCTTTGGACTTCATACTATTTCAGCAGTCTGAACTGTTGTCACGTGCAGTTTCCCAATGAGTCTGCTACTAATAGTATCTTGCAAACTGATACTTGGTGGATGGAGTTGCGGTTTTTCAACAGATATCAGCATCATTACAGCCAAGCCAAATGCCTGGTCTAAGGTGCTGTCCCAGCTGCTCATTGTGCTAGATGTCACTGGTCAGGACAACTGGGTCCAGAAAAGCAAGCAGCTGCCATTCTGACAGGCTATGCCGACGTAGTGTTCTTGGTGAGCAAAAGAAGTGCTGTGATTGATATTTACTATTATTTTAGGCTCTGATTCAGGAAAACAATTAAATCATGTGCTTAAGTCCATTTCTGATGAGAGCAACACTTAAGCACATGCTTACCTTTAATTTTCAGTGGGAATTAAGCACATGTTTAAGTGCTGGCCTGAATAACTTTGATTTCCCAAACTGGAGACACAGTCAATAAAACCAAGTAGGATACTTCCCAATCTGTCCCTAACTCTTGTAACTTGGTATTTTTCTTTCAAGTCATCTTAAACAAAAATCAGCCAGTTATAGGATTATGGCCAGATTTGAAAGTGCCTACTCAATTTTGTACTAAATTCTTACACCAGGCAAAAAAACTCTCAGCAAAATTTCAGATTTGGCCCCTTGAGTAAAAACTGCATTGGCTCACAATAGGGTTTTTTGGTGTGTGTGTGTGTGTGAGGAGGGAGAGGTTGGGGGGGTTTTTTGGTTTGTTTTTTGGAGGCGAGGTGATTTGCCACTTGTGAGCCATTTTGGCCAATTCAAGACCTAGAATCTGCTCTCAAGGAAGTTCTGGTAGCCAGGCCTATGAACTCTCACAATGAGTGTGTCTGCACAAGGATTATTTTGCTAAAATTTTCCCCCAAGTATAGACAGAGCTCCAGGTGATATGTCACCTAACCTGGCTCAGTGCAGGCCAATATGTCATAGCGCTTAAAACAGCCGCAGCTGACGGTTCTTTTTGTAAACCGGCCCTCCCACTGGTTGAGCTGAATCAGCGTGAACAACAATCGTAAATTTTAGCAAGTTTCCCAGTTCAGAGAAGACCAGTGTGATTGTGCACAGTGGAAGTAATGGAAATACTTGTACTTTACTGTTGAGTGGGATAGCAAGGAGAAAGAGATGGCTAAGATCTTTTGCTGGCTATAGGGAAGTCTTGTCTACACTGCTAAGTTTAGTGCCCATTTTCCAGTTCCACCAGTGTTGGCAATGGTGTCATTGCTAATGTACACCAGATTTGAGCATTTAGCAGTGTTTTTTATGTAATAGTCTACACTTTGGTATTTCATGACATTGTCCTGACAATGCCTGAGCCCACTCTACATTAGTGTTCATGCTGTTTCAGCAGCACTAGGTCTGTAAGCGGAATACAAAAGCTTGTAAAATAGCAATGGCCACGTGCCAAGGAGGATAGTGGCTGCTCATTGCTGTAATGACTTCTTCTAGGTCAGCCGTAGAGTTGTACTGGTGTACACCTTAAGCAGGTTGTTCGGCTTTGATATAGAACGTAATAATGATCTATGTACGTTTCTACAGGTACTACTAAGAGAGGCTAAGCTTACATACTTATTTGTGCTACTCACTATTTATTTTCTACTTGATTTCAAAGAAGCATGCATCTCATATTAAAATAAAATGTGAATGAGTAGCATATCTTCTATCAATTTAATATTTTACTTGCTTTCAATTTGTATTTCAGAACGAGATGGCTGTATATGAACTAATTCATAATTTTGTGGAGGTTTTGGACAGATATTTCAGCAGAGTGGTGAGTGAGACACGGAATCCATTGTAAAACATTTCCTTTCTTTGAAAGCCTTTGTGAACAGATTGTTCAGAGACAACAAATGAAAGAGGGGGTGGGAATCTTTGTTTATAAAAATGTAAAATGTGGAAAGTTTTGGTGTGACTGTGACAACTGTAACAAGGCAGCATCAGGAAGTTTTTTATTTTGTAACATACAATAATATAAGTATATATGGCTTATCAACTATTAGACATTGAATGCAAAAATATTTATGCTAGGAAACAGTCTTTTTGTATGTTTATCCACCAAATGGTACTTCAGGAACCTACATGCTTCCCACTCTGAATGGCCCTATCTACACTAGCCTTTAAACTGGTCTTTTCTATATTAGATTTATTTCTCTTAAAATTTCCCACCATTGCCACCCACAGATAAGCTGCAATGGTGCTAGAAGTGGAGAAAGCACTAATGTACCCGGTCACTCAGAGCAGGGTTGGACAAAGCACTGATTGGCAGTTGGTGTTTCAATCTATACTGGCACTCCCACTATTGCCACCAGGGGCAGCAATGCAGAAGTGGGAATTTTTAAGAGAAAAGGTATTGCATAGGTACAGTCGGAGTCTGGCAATCAAGTTCTGCTGTGGTTCCGGTTTGGCCACCCAGTGTAATTACAGACTAAAACGCATGTTTTACATGGTTCTGACACTGTTTGGTCCTGTCCATACAGGATGGACAAATCATGTTAGAAACAAATTTAGATGAAGATGTATTTTAACAGTTTCAACATGGTTTTTAAGTTGGGTTGGATATCCTACCCTTTCCCCAGCATGAGTGGGTCAAAGGCTCTATGTAAGGGTGGTGTCAACATTGCAAAAAAGTGTTAATAGAATAATAGAATATTAGGGTTGAAAGAGAGCTCAGGAGATCATCTAGTCCAATCCCCTGCTCAAAGTGTTAACATGGATGAGCTAAGGGTAGTAAAGACATGGCAACTCATCTTTGAAGCTCAAGTTCAGCCTCAGGCTGCCATATATATTTGAACTTGAGCTGCTAAATAGAGTTAAAAGCTGAGTTGCCATGACTTCACTGCTATTTTAACCTTTTAGCTAACACAGATTAGCTGCCTTTTTTTTTTTTTTTTGCATTGTAGACATACCCTAAAAGTGATCCTTCCTCTGGCAAAAGAGGGCTGGGTGCAATTCCTCCTTGAGTCCATCGACTCCATGGTGTGCCATCGATAACTGTACATACTAAAGATCAGTGTACCCTCCCAGGTTTATAACTTTGATTTCCCAATAATAATGCAAACATTTTCTACAGCAGATCTAGGCCAGCAGAGCTGATCGTAAAGTTACTCCATGTGTGAATTTGTTGATGCAGAAGATAATCTTGCCTGAATCTATCACCTTTACAGTATGGGTCAAATAGGGTTAGAAGTAAAATTCCCAACTAACCATGCTCAGGCTAATAGAAAATTGGCCACTACAGTGTGCCCCAGTTCTCTAATGCATGGAGGTTGGAAATTCATTGCTATAATTGCAGTCACAACCTTAACACTCATGACACGAATGGAATTTGACTTCTCATGTGTAGCAGAATTTACTAGCATTTTATTTGTCTAATTGATCTAAGTCTGCTGCCAGCCTTTTCCCAAGTTTTAATGTTTTCAGCTGTGAATGAAAGTAGGGGCAGTATTAACATAGTAAAAGTCTGTCTGCCTTAGCACAAATATACTCTAGTACCTTGTGAATCTACCACATTTAATGGATGCTGCACATCCGTTTCTTGTACATGTATATAGGCTAAAAGCTGACAGTTATTAGCAATTTACTGATTACATCATGCTACAGAACCTGGCATTACTCAAAGCAGTTGGGCTTTAAAATTTGGAGAACTAAAAAGAGGGGTGGGTTGGAGAAATCACATACCATAGTTCTGTTTTTAATAGCATATAACGCGTATAATAAATAGCAGGCCACTGAATAACAGGCCTATAATTCCAGCTAGAGGTTCTGGTGGAACCCCAGAGCCAAGGGAATAAATCTGTACTGTACTAAATTATGCTGAGTTTCTAGTAGCCAAGGGGTAGCCGTGTTAGTCTGTATCCACAAAAACAACACGGAGTCTGGTGGCACCTTAAAAACTAACAGATTTATTTGGGCATAAGCTTTCGTGGGTAAAAAAAACCCACTTCTTCTAGTCTTTAAGGTGCCACCAGACTTAGGGTGACCAGATGTCCCAATTTTATATGGACAGTCCCGATTTTGGGGGTTTTCTTATATAGGCACCTATTGCCACTCCCATCCTGAATTTTTACACTTTCTATCTGGTCACCCTAACCAGACTCCTCATTGTTTACATAATTCTCACAGAACTCTAAGTTGTGATGATAACACAAAGAGAAAAACAAAGCAAAAAAAGCAGTGGGAAAGAAAATAACATCTGTCTTGCTCTAGAGGGACATTTTGTCATCTTTATATTTTTAGGTTTGTGAGTTTTAAACATTCTTGCATGTGCTATTTTTTTATCTCATGGAATTTCCATTCTTAAATTTAGATATCAGATCTTATGCTGCTGTACCAGAGAAAACATTCACAGAATCAGGAGCAGGTTTTCAAAGCTACCTATGGGATTTGACTCTGGGACTCCCCTTGATTTTGATGGTAGCTACACAAATATAACCAGGCACACTGTTTGGAATATGTGCCTCTTGGTGCCCAGTGACGTTTTAAAAAAAAAAAAAATCTTAAGTATAAATTGAATTGATCAGTCACCTGAAGTTTGCTTATTGTGATATACAAAAACTTTTTAAATGGGGATGTTGAACTCGTTCAGCGGAGAGGGCTGAATTATGGTTTTCTTTAGGGTCCATAAACCAGAGTTACGAGTTTCTGCCATATGATATCTGCAGTCCACAGCAACACTTTCACTATGTCAGTGGACTTTTGCATAAAAATCAAGGGTAGAATATTGGACCCAGAACCAGGGATAAGGAAGCCCAGTGCAACTTCATCTCCCTTCCAGGAAGTTCCACCTGTGTCTGGCAGAATTTTAATCCCTGAGAAACAAGGAGGGAACAGATGACACCGTAGAGCTCCACTGCTTGGAACAGAGCATTTTGCTGGGACTCAGGAGCACAGCTGCATCCACATCCCTAAGCTCAGTTATTGTCTCAGGCTGTCTTTCTTAAGACTCAGTAAAACAGCACTGCATTGTGCCAGATGTTCAGAAAGTTTTATTGCTTGGCAAACCTAATTCTTTGAAGTTTAATTTTTCAATAAAAAATTAAATTCTTTAGAATCTTAACTTGTCATGAAGGCTAGGATAATAAATCACAAGCACTTAGATCCCACATTAATGAGCATGATGTCACTGAGCACGGACCTGCACAAACCACCACAGAAAATCAAGCTGTCTTGGAATTTTATATCTGTGCTCTGACAGGCCTTTCCTTTTTCATCCAAAGGAGAAGTGGTATGTAATGCGTAATGACGGTGAGGTAAATGATAATTCACCTTATCTGACTAAAACTGATATCCACCTATCTTTTTTCTTCCAGAGTGAATTAGATGTATCCTTTCCAGTATCACCACCAATCCATTTGTCATTTTCTGTATGCCTGTTCTTACTGCCTTCTAGTACTACTTGGCAGACATTCAAGATAAAGCAGTACCATGTTATGATTTAACAAATGAATATTGCAGTTAGAGTAAGTAGCACACTCCTGGGGTCCAGCAGCAAAGGCGGCAGCTGCTAATGAGGAACCTTCTATTTAAAATCTCAGTAGCAATATAAAGACAATACTGGTGTGGAGCAATTTTTTTCTGAAGGTAACTTGTTAAATGAGATGCAGGGCTTAGTTACCAAGAACAACTGTATAATCATGTTTGGATACAGAGAAGGGAGACGGGTTATTTTTTGGTTTGCTTTTTTGTTTCACTATTTTTTATCAATTTAACTTTCTTTGTTATTGGCAAGGTATTTATCACCATAGTGCCTTCGGCCACATTAGAAAAAGGTTACCACTATTACAGGATTAAACATGGACGATGATCCTGCTTCTATAGAAGTCAGTGGGAGTTTTGCTGTTGCCATCAATGGGAACAGGAGTATGCCCTTGATGGGGAATCTTGGGTATCGATCATGACAGCAGCAATGATTGAAATGACATGGTCTTTGCACACACTTAACCACCCTCCACTCAACTACTCAGAATGTTACTTAGATGCCTTATTCAAGGAGTAATATATAGCTAAAATATAGAAGCATTTTTGTTATGTTATTTTTTGTTATTTTTCTTACACTTCTTTACTAAGGCAGCAAAAGGCATCATATATAGTTTTTTCCTATAACTTCTTAAAAGCATGTCCATCTACACATAAGCTAGGGAACTTCACTGGAACTCTCTGGTTCATCTAGTAGCATTAAAAAAAATAGTACACTGTCTGTGTTACATTCATGGAACATAAATTAACACCAGGAAAGTTCCCCCAAACTGAAACCAAAGACTGGTGGATGAAATATCTGCCTTATGGGATCCTGTTTTCATAAGGGGAGTCTTGAGGTCCACAGACAATTGTGCACTTACATTTTTGTATGTACTTAAACATGTGCTTATTTAAGTACTTTGCTGAGGAGAGATGGACTTAATTATGTGTATAAGTGCTTTGAGTTGGGGACTAAGCGTACAATTTGGGTAATTATACGTACAAATGGCTACTTATGCCCCAATATGGCTATATTTTGTATATGTATTTATCCAAATTTGAACATGAAATCATTTAGGGTGGTGCCATCCCTGTGAATACTAATTGCCTTTTGTCAGAATTTTCACACTGAGGAATTTTCTGACTAATGCATGGATAAGATTAATCAGATTTTTAACACACACACACACACACACACACACACACACACACACTCTCACTCTGTTGGCACAGTTAGTAGCTGAGAGATTGGCACCTGGCAACCTGCTGCATGCATTACTTAACAGGGTGTGTGATTACACAGTTTAGGGGAACTCTGGTGTAAACTGAAGATGATTTTCAATACTGGTTCAGTGTGCTGAGATCCTGTGCTAGCCCTTTAACCCATTTCACCTCTCTCAGAGACCCCATGAGAAAATCATTTTCAGCAATGAGTCAAATCTCCAATTGTAAACCAGCCTAATAGACTTGTCTGTAAATTTGAAGAGGGGTTTATGGAATTTAGGGAGCATATAAATTATCTTATTTGATAATATTAAGAAAAGGTTCTCAAATCTTGCTAGTACAACTATACTAGGCCAAATTCAAAGTCTGGTGTATCTCCACTGATGTATTAGGCCTCTTATCTTTAATTTTGTAGTACACCAGTACACTCTTTTTGGAGGGGAGCAGTTTTATTTTAAAACATTTTCCCTACAAGCTAAAAAATTCCTGTCTCATTTAGAGAAAGGAAGAACCTTTGTGGGCTAGAGTGTATAGAAAACACTAAAAGCCAATTCCTCAGTATGCTGAGTGAAGTGTGAACATGTGCCTATATAAGTGGTGGTGGTGGTGATGGTGATGTGAACCATTCAGATTAGCATTTATTTTTTATAGCAATTTAAATAGCAGATAAATAGAGAACAGTGTAACATTTGGACTACACGTGTCTTAGTTGTTATTGCAGCGCAAACTATTCCATCAAAATGCCATTTGTAGCATGTAAAATAACAGTCACGGCCTGGGAACAAATCATTTCTGTTGCCAAGTAGCCTGAGCTGACTCCAGTTTAATTCAAAATATCTGATGAAGAAATACAATGTGAATGTCTGTAGCAGCAAACACATATGCAAGATATATCGTGTTAATAGACTGGGCATCTGGCTAGAGCCTGTGATGATTTCCTGTCTCTATGGTAACACTGATGTATACAAATCCACATGAATTTGGTTTTAAAAGTGATCATGTCTACTTAATGTTGAAAACAAGATGATAATAAAGAACTGACGATAACATGATCCAACAAACATTTTAAAATTGCAAAGAAAAATAATCAGAATGGTGATTACCACATATTCCAAATTCACTAAGAGCTCTCCTTTCCATGAGGTGCTAAGTACCCACACCCTTCCATTGAAGGCATTGTTTGATTGAGTCCCTAACTCCAAGCAATCTATATATTGGTATAATAGCTACATATGAAAGAAAATGGCAGCACAAATCTGCAGTGTAGAACTCTATAGCTGAGACACATACATTACCCTATATTGCAAAAGCACATTATTAGTAAATGCTGGGAAGTCCTGCTAAATTATCATATTAAAATGTAAAGCATACATTAAAGGTACATTAAGGTTACACATTTAAAATCAAATTTAAAAAAAAAATCAGGAAAAGCAAAGTGACGTTTCCATTCGCAGCGTTAATGCTGTCAGACTGCACGTTTTATATAACAATGGGAACAATAGCACACTTTATTTGCATCTTATAGAATATCTGGTTTGGAAGGGACCTCAGGAGGTCATCTAGTCCAACCCCCTGCTCAAAGCAGGGCGAATCCCCAATTTTTGCCCCAGATCCCTAAATGGCCCCCTCAAGGATTGAACTCACAACCATGGGTTTAGCAGGCCAATGCTCAAACCACTGAGCTGTCCCTCCCCCCCATCTCTTCCTGCAGTTTTAACGATTTAAAATTTGGGGCAAAGAATTAAGTAATCCAATTTAGTACTTGTAATTATTCTTAAATATTGCGAAAGCCCCACAATCTATAAAAGACTCTACCCCAGTCTGAAAAAAGGCAAGTTGCAGTTCCTTAGATGTAACCTTCATCCAGGGAAATCGGCCTTGATGGAAGCATGTATCTTGTATCTCTGCCAGATTCTACAGTCTGTCTATACCCATTTATCCTGCTGTTCCTTAGCCCCAACTGCTCTCAAACCCACTCTACATCTTTGAAAAAAGGGGTCAAGGACCAAGAAAACCCAAACTAAGTGCAAAAAAATTCCCAATAAATTAGCAAACCCACAATTAAATACTAATACTATTTAGAGCACCCAACTATGTTGTTACAGCAATCCCAGCTAAAAGAAGATATGCAACAATCCATAGGAAACCACTATCCTCCAATCTGAACACAAGCAATAACTCCAGTTTCCAAGTCTCTGTAGAGATTATATATTGCAAGAGAACTTAATTCCTGGTCCTAACTAAAAGCCTGTATGTGTCACACAAATCTGCCCTCCAGCCTCTTAACCAATCAACTACTGTAAGGGAATGGATGTAAAAATCCTGCTGTTTCTGCTACAAAGAACAATATACACTTTACTCTAGGCTAAAAAAACTATGTGAAAGCAAAAGAACCTTCCAAGTTAATGCTAAGGTTTAAGTTGTTTACTGCCCCAAAAGTGTTATCATATTTAATAATGTAAACTTAACAGGAAAAGTCAGTGTAACTTTCATTAAAAGCAAAGGGCGGGATCCAAGCTTTTCCTACCAAATTTAAAATAAGACAAGTTAAGAGGCAGGCTGTATGAACATATATTTAGTCATATTTTTACCAGCATTTTCCATCAAATTAATGTTTTAATATATTCTCCAAGGCCACATTCCTGAAAACATTTATGTGTGTGCCTGCTTAACTTTAAGCACAAGTAACACAATTGCTGATTTCCATGGGGGTTACTCATGTGCCTAAACTTTTGTGTAAGTAAGTGGTTGCAAGATCGCAGCTTTAAACATATTGCATTAGCAACAATGAAAACTATTGGCACTAGTCAATTAAAGGGTGATATTTTAGACAACCACTTTATTTTATTAAGTTCTGAGTAGCCATTTGTTTTGAGAGCAACTTTTATATGTAAAGAGTCTAGATAATGGTTGAGACAAGTTTCCACTTTTAGTCTGGGAATTAGTCATTCTGCACATAATTAAGAATCCATATGAAGCAAAGATCATGATATTTCCAGAACTATATTTTAAATATGTTTTTAAAACAACTGCTACCAGATGTGCTGATGGACCATTTAAATGGACAACAGTGTTAATACCATTAATAATGAAATGTTTCTGTTTAGCGAGTTAATATCTCTGATTTTTTTATACACAGAACCAGAGCTTAAATGGGTTGAATTTTATTAAGCTCTTAAACAGCTGCAGTTCAGATGGCGTAGAAGCCACTTTCTGGCTGTGATGAGTCACTACAAGGATTAAGAAAGTGACAATTGAAAGTGTTATCACAGCAGTTTGGTGTAGACTAGATGCTGTTATGTGTAGGAGTTGTTAAAATTAAGAAAAGTTGGTTTTCTACAGTTTAAATTGACAGAACAAGCTTTGTTCTGAACCAGATACTAGCCTGTGAAAAAAACAGGTGTTTATGTTCAGGTTTCTGTCTGGATCCCCAGAGAACCAAGAGTCTGGAGACCAATTTCCTGAGTTAAGAAAATCATTGAGTCCCATTGTGATTAGCCTACTGTTTATGTCTGGGACAACTGAAAAACACTGATATAGGGAATTTCCCAGCTGAATCCATCAGACACTTTAATGTCCACCAAAGTAGCAGTTTCAAACTTTAAGTTTGGGCAATTTTAAGTAATCAGGAGGAAAATTATAATGTTACAGT